AGGACATTCGGAAAGTACTTTTGATCCTGAGAAGCACTAAAACTCCGAGTCGATAAGCAAACCTACTTCAACACCGTATTTGAGGCGATACCTCGTTGGAGCCTTCAGCACTTAGACGATATTTAACAGATGATAATTTTCTGAAATTTCTGAGTACTGCTGTCAGCGAATTTGCGCATTGCTCCATGTAAGGTGTGATACCACAAGCATATTAATGGTCCCTTAATGGTGACGAATCTAGAATCGTGAAGATCTCGCTCGCTCTCTACTGAGTGACTGCTTCTACTCAGGGCCCGGCGGAGGTGGCGCTTTCACAAGCTGGATATCGTTTTTGGCCACGAAAAGCAAAGGGAAAATCGTATTTTGGGGTCCGGGGCGGAGCCCCGGAAAAATTTGATGTGCAACAGCAAAAGAAATGCATCAGCACCCTCATGCACTAAACATTTATGAGAATTTTCGGTGGAGTGTTTCAACACTCTAATTTGTTCGGAAAATTGACGAAGTGTATCATGATCTTGCAACAGAGCAGGATAGGGTTTCTCCTTGACTTTTCGTATTCTTCAAAGTGAAGAGAATTGAAGAAACTCAATATAGGTAAGGGAGCTTATCGTGCATTCCAGATAGACTCCGAACACTAAAAATTACTTTTGAAGAAAAAAGTTTCAAAATCAGAGCTCTATCTTCAAAATTTACGGAATTTGTTCTTAACGATCAAGGTAGGCAGTAATCGACATATAATGTTTGTAGACGGCACTTCAATCTACTCAGTCAAGGAGACCGATATTCATGATTTTTATCACTTCCGGGTAACTCATTTTCCATCCAAAGTATGAGAATCAAACTTTCTACTAAGCCTTATCACAATTTAAAGATTCTATTGAGACTTATTTCTCTCACAGGGCGTAAGATTTGCTTCTCAAATGACGTTTGCAATTTGAAGAGGAAAACGAAATGGAGAAATTAATTGAAGAATGATGCTACATTGCAGATACCTGCATATATATCGACGCTAGTGATTTAGCAATCAAATTTTATTTTCGAGATTTTCTATTTTCGAATTTATTCGATATTCATTCATTCGATGAAGAAATCTCGAATTACCCAAGATACTCTACAGTTCTAATGACAATAAGTATATACGTATATGTCCGCTTTATACTTCAAAAACAGACACTGTTTGCAAAGCAGTGTATCCTTTCTCGCCCCCCTTCGCCGTTAATGTGCCCCATTGCCCATCAAATGTTCGCAAGCAACCCCAAAAGAGCACGCGGGAGTTCAAATAGGAATTTTTTGGAACGAAAAATCAAAGATTAGGCTCGTTTGCAACAATTAGGTAACGATATGACACCAAATTTGGTGCACGATAAGATAGCAAGGAGTGGAAACAATGTATGAAAAATTATGAAAAACTTATGTGAACTCAGGGAATGGCAATTGTTTTTCCAAATTAGGTGGCTCCCGCGCCACCTGGGAGCCACCTGGGGTGGCTCCCTGCTTACGCTCACATAATTTTCTGAGTTTCTTGACATAAATGTAAACTAGGTTGAAAGTGTTACTACTACCACAAATCCGCTTCCAAAAGCATGAACTATTACATTTGCTACAGCCTCAAATAGATTTTGCATGGGAGCGTGTAGAATTAGAAAGTGCGCTCCAATCCCACGGCACTAACATCAGCTGGATCTTCAACCATCTCCCTAGAGTTTTCTGTTCATCTTATTCATCTTACATTTCTCTCAGACTGTCCTTGTTTAGCATTTTCAAGCATGGTTATTTGTTTCGATTTCAGATGAAGGTTCCGTAGAAGCAACGAGCGTTGCGGCGCAGAAAAAGGGGAAAACAGGAGAGAAACCCAGGGCTGGTGGTCACTCTGAGATTATGGAGAAGAGGATGAGGTTTGCTGTCTTACATTATTCTTCTATCTATCTATTACTTGTATAGATACTCAGTTCGGCGTCAGTTATCATCATTATCATTTCTGATTTGCGCTACTTATACACTGTATAGTATCATATACATGAACATCCATGGAAACTCAAATAGTCTGGTCAATGTTTTCTCTTTAGATGATATATACCTTGATCACACCTGTGTTCAAAAGGTGGATGATGATGACATTTGATGCCACTGTCTCAAAGTAGAGGTGGCTGCCGGGAGTATCAAAACTTGCCATTTGAGGAATTCATAACTCTACTCTTTTCACCTTTTCTGAAAAGCAATGATATTATTACATGATGATGTAATGATCTCTTATTTTGTTATTGGCCTTTTTCATGGTAGTCGCTTTCTCGCTGCTAGTTTTCACCTGAACCAACGTTTACTGCCGAACGAAGTCGAAGAAGCCATGGGCGCGAACACGATGTTTTATCAGCCGTGAAGCGCATAAGGCGCAGGGTTCAAAATGATTTGAAGTTGTTTGCCTGCTTGGCAGAAGACTTGATTCAATGTAGAGTGTTGATTGGCCTACGAAACTATTCCCTATTATGATCTAGTTCATTGCTCAGATTTTTTTCTTTAGAGTTATACTGACCATCTCTCTACTTCAGGTCTCATTGGCTCGTCGAAAATGCAGGAAAATGATACACGAAAGTTCTGATGAAGGACCTGCAATTCATCGAGGCCTCGAAAAGGTGGAGAAAACAAGGTGAGAACTTATTTGAGATTGAGCCGCTATAAGTTTGGAAAATACCATCATATTTTCATGAATTACTTCCTTTAACTTCATCAAGTTTTTGTTTTCTGTCTGTGCTCTTCCTTCATTCAGGCTTCTGAACACTCTCCGCCCATATCTGCAAACGTTCCCAACTTTTTTGATGGTGCAGAACCCCTACCGCATACAAGCAACATATCTCAGAAGATATCGGCAAAATTCTGTTCGAAGGGCAAGGTAACGTCTGCTATGGTCACGATTGCTTTACATAGCACTATATCAGTTTGGATTCCAGTGTCCCTATATCTCACATTTCTCAAGAAGTATTTGATCTTCTGGTGATCAAGAATTCTTGAGAATTGTTGGCGGCAGTATCATGTCGATTCGACTTGTGACTGCTCATGTGGTAAGCAGAATTCAACAGATGTTAGCGTTCCCCACTTCCGATGTTTCATTTATGCTTACCGAGAGCAGGAGGTGTGTTCTGTTTTCTTTTATAGAAGTTATCTGTGTCTTTTGAGTCATTACGTTGATTTCGGTATCAGTCATGCCACGGAGGATGTTGTACTTAGTTTTAATTCTGTTCGAAATTTGCAAAATCTTGGTATGAAATTTTACGGAAATGGTCACTAGCAGGTAATATAGCCTAGAGACCCTGAAGCTCGTTTGAAACTAGAAGTTCCAGGTTGCTTCTCCCGCATGTTTGATGACAACTCTGCTGAAGAATGGAACAACGAAAAAAAAATGACATTGCGTAACTATCGTCATCTAAGGCAGACTCGCCGAACCTCAGATCATTTTAGGAAAATGTGATTGACAGTATGATGCGGAATTGATAAGCGGCATGCAAGTTGATGTTGTAAATTTTTCATCTTACATAGATCACCTTGATTGCTTTTATCGTGATAAAGTGTGGAAAAAGTTGTGCTGCTAAACAAATTTCATTGCTGATATCACGGAAGCAGAGAGGAGGAGTGAAGAAGTAAGTTTTATGATTTTGAAGTGTACCAGCTGGTAACTAAGCGTCGACAGGTGTTTCCGAGTTTGCTAGCCTGCACAGTAAATGTTATGCGGCATGATGTAGCTATTTTCTTACATTTACGTTCATTGGGCATCAAGCAGGAAATCGTAGAAATTTTTGAAAGTCAAAGGGGAACTCGTTTTGAAAAAGTCGAAACGCCACCTGCTGCCGGGCCCTGCTTCTACTTCTACAATCAAATCCAGAATATATATAAAAGTTTGGCTGAAAGGTTGTCCATGCAATTATAAGCTTTCATGATGGTTTAGCAGTACTATTGCGCTGACCAAGATGAAAAGAAAAAAATTTTCAGCAGTTTTCTGAGTATTACATTACAGCACTTTACCTATCTATGAAATTTGAGTCAAAATCTAGAAAGCTTTTTTGTGGCAACTTTCAGTTTTCGATGTCATCTATTGCCAGCTGCGGATGCCTAGAAGCGTCTGGATTAAACGCTAATTCTTATTCAGAAAATCTTGGGAATATGGGCATATTTGTACACTAACGCACAATTGTATAGACAACTGCATTCACGAATTTTATAATTCAGTATTTATTTATACACTGTACATATATATATCTCTGTACATATATTTGCAAGAAAATATTTACATTCATTCAAAAGATTGGAAGAGAGGGTGGAGGCAAAAAGTAGCAAAAGCACGAGGTCCACAACTTGACGTAAAGTGAGGAAAACTTCCTTGAAGTTATAAAACATAGGGAAACTCACAAAGATCGCAGTTTTCGGGGCTTTCGGGGTTTGTAGGATTCGGGTTTCTACTCACCAATACAAACAGAAACCAGTACTGTACTAAACATAGCATCTGACGCGACATACAAAATTCAGTCAAAGAGATCTTTCTCAGCAAATTGATTATCACAATTCCAAGCTTAGCCAACTCTCTGATTGCATCAACAGGGGCCAGAATTGGGCGCAAAAAGAATTCTTTCTTCGCAGATTGTCTGTCTCGGTATTTGTCATCACGGCTTTTGGTCGGCGACCCGACATAGGATGTTACTTGAGTATGCTTGTAATGACCGCCTGTAAAGTTTGATATGATGTCCTTCTAAAATGAAAACACGATCTCGAACTTACAAAGTCAGTATCTCGATTACCACAAGGGTCACCGTCCTCGAGGTATTTGATCACATTCAATTATCGCAATGTGCGCCCTCATCATGGTCTTTCCTGATACAGTCCGTTTAGCACCGTGTGGTACTGGATGTACATGTTTGAAAGGTGACAACATCGCAGTTTTTAATAGATTTGTTCTAAAAAAAACTAGATAACAGGTATTTTGCGAAAAAAGCGCTTTCAACGACGTACCTGAGTCACTTCTTTGTGACAATGCACTCATTTGAGCCCCTCCCAGAGTCGCACTCCGCTATCGATGAGTTAGGTGAGATGTGATGATAAAGGTTTGTCTGCGGTATTGTATATCCTGATCGGAAGCCATATGGGATGACAACTGGAGGCGAGGAACCGAGTGACGACGTGGAGTCAAGCGGCGATGTGGTTGTAGCCTCGGATTTCGCCGATGATGACAGCTTATAAGTGAGCGGACGAGTCTGCTCCCAAGGCATATTGTACCTAAAAAGAGAGGTATATCAGCTGATCACTCAAAATATCTGCACGTATCTGTCATGAGCGAATAAGGTATGAGATGATGCGATTTCCGTAACAGAAAATGGTATAGTGATTAAGGTACTAACCTGGCGTGTCCATCGGTCTTCCAAGTTGACGGGGAAGGATGATGCAGCGGTTTCTCGTAAATATGGCGATGAGTCCTAAAAAGCTGGTACTTGTTTTTTATAATAATAGTGAAATGCGGACAACTTCACAAACCTTTTCTTCCGAAGAAAAGCAACCAGTACACAAGCGAAGCCCACTGATGCTAGGACAGCAATGCCCGCCAGTAACAGAACACATACATGCAGTAGCTTCTCATCTCCATTTAATTGTGAGAAAATCGAAGTTGATTCGGCAGAGGTGGCATCTGGCAGCTGCAAAATTTTGACTCTAGGGACATTCAGAGTTATTGGTGACTATGGTAGAAGTGTGTGACCTCACAGCAGGGATTTTTCGCGCTACTAAGGAAACTTGCTCAGGCCAGCAACTCGTTTGGTCATTCGACAATTATGGTCTACGCTACTTTTGTAGGCGCTGGATTCATTAGATAGTAAATTTTGGAGCAGCAGCATTAAAGGGTCAAAATCAATCGAAAATTTGACTGTGAAATGATTAGAAATGATGCATTCTTCTCGAAAAGGAATCATAGGTGATGGAAATAAAATTTTGAATTTAATTCTATTAATCTAATTTGGTTTTAAAGAAAAATTGTCCACTAACCCTTTGTTCAATGAGTGTAACATCGGAGGGATCCGGGCACCATGGGCATCTTTCTGTATGCTTTCGCACAGCTATCGTGGCATTGAAGCATTTGGCTCGAATTTCGATCAGCTTCTTGCCCAACTCCTCTTCCGGTATAGCTGTAGTAGGCATGTCCTGATAACGTCGATTCCGGCCCTAAACTATTGGGTTAACGCATTAAAACAGTAGCAACATTATAGTCTTGCGCAATCGCAGCTACTTTCGTATGAGAGCATGGGATCACGAATAATTAGCAATAGTTAGTGGATCAAGCATCGAAACTCACAAATGCCTCAACAACTCCTTCTTGGAAAACGCGAATTGTCGCCGTCTGATCGCAAACTCGTGGAAAGCCATAGGTCGGGTCAGTTCCGACCACTTGGCATGACAGCGTCAGATCCTCTGGTTTACCTTTGGCCCAGTGAGACACAAACGACCGTGAGACATCCTCAAATTAAAGATGTGTTGACATACACTTCAAGCTGCGATATGGCATTTTTATTTCAGTGGTAAAATGAACTATAATAATTTAACAGCTGACTTTTTTGCGACTAATTAAGAATGGAGAAAATAATTACAGCAGTTTGATAAAACAGATTTAGAGCTTCCAAACACATACAAAAATTTCTCCAAATGCTTTGTAAAATATTGAGAAAACATGTGAATAGACTTATTACACAACCTGATAATTTACAGGTGTCAATGTTTTGGGTGCCGTTGTACTGAATTTCAAAATAGCTAGTCTAGACCAATTTTCTCGAAGTTCTAATAGGTTCTACGCAATCGTTGATTGACGGACCAATTATACCACTTCACAAAGTGGCCGCTTAATGGCGTAAGGATACAAATGTGCGCGCAAGTGAGAAAATACGATACTCTTCTGTCCTGGTCGCATTGAGAGTGCATATAGCGGTATATCCCGAAATACTATTGATGAGAAATATAAGAAAGCCGCAAGAAAGGCCGCAAATAAGCCATTTGATATACAGGACACTTTATCCAAACACTTTTTTGGAAACTCAAAAAGTAAAGTAATTGATAGTTTTCTTACCTGTACAAAGTGCTCCGAAATAGGCCAGCTGATAGAAATCTTTTCAGTAATTGGTAACATGTTCTCAAGTACCTGAAAACGCACTTTCAAATTTGAGGTGGTAAGCTATAGTTACAACAAAATTCAATTTCAAACCTTGAATCTAGGCTGAGAGCAACCGGCAGTGGTCAGGCATCCTTCCCTCCAATCCACCCGAAACAGCTCGGCTGTCATCCAGAATGCCGTCGAAATAATAGGTAGCAGAATTAGCAATGCCAACATCTGTAAAAAAAACATTTGCATTTCATTGCTGGTAAATTCATCACCAATGAGTAAAAGAAAATGTTATGGCCAGCATCACGTATGGAGTTTTCTATAAAGTGACCTGAAGAGGGATGGGGCCGAGGTGAGGACCAATTGTCCGCCTCCCCCCCCCCCCCCCCCTTATGGGCATACGAATGCGCGAGACCTTTTCCAAAAAATTTGCTCGAGATCAATGAAGAACAGGAGAAATAATGTGTGCAGAGATAATACAGGGCATTGATCATAAGGACGAAACTGTTATTCGATTACTGTATTTTGAATGTCATTTTGAGCTAGTGTCAAAAAGGTTACAAAAGCTCAATTACGCAAATCTGCATCCGACCAAGGGCTCTTGAAAAAAACAACTTCCCAACGATACTGCAGCACTCTCCAAAGCTCTATCCGAACAACAGAAAAAGCGCTTTTTAGTGATGTGCAAAAGTGCCGAAAAATCCTAGTTATCGCAAATTCTAATCTATATACTGGCTACTACCAAAGTCTGAGATACGATCTTGACTCAAACTGATCTATATCGCTCGTCAAACACATGCTCTAAGTGTGAAATCTGATAACCGTGCAAACTTCACTAGGCCCCGCTTACATAATCATGATTGAGGTAATCAAAACAGAAAACAAAATTGTGCACGAGCGAGGTAACCAAAGAGGAGGAAAGCAGGGGAGATTCAAGCGAACGCCAGTCCTGATGTGAAGCTATTGAGACATTCTTTGGATTCATTGGAGTGATAAGGATTGGACCTGTTAGGTTGGGAAAGTAGCCACCTCCCACTTGTGAATCGCGGGAACGGACGCCCAACGAGCATGAATGCATAACTGCGAGGGATACTCTCAGTCTCACACCTGCCGGAAGTAGGTGCAGTCACACGGCATTTACACATAACAATAGAGCTGTAGCAAGAGTTTTCCAGCAAATTTGAGTTCATCGTTAAAAAAATGTTGGGATTCAGAGGAAACGTTCACAAACCTATTGTAATCTATGGTAGACGACGTGTTGCAGAGCTAATCTCAGAAAACGAGGAACATTTCTGTGCTAATGTGAGTGAATTTCTTCTAACCCCTGGGGACACACGAGTGAAGAGTATTTAATTGTGTACTACATGCTGGTCATCAATCTTCAAGGAATACTGCATTTTTTGAAGAAAATGTGCTAAACTCTGGACGTATGGTGAATACAGATGACTGATCAGCGCTTGATGCATAATTGACACAAGGTGGAGAGAGCATTGAGTCAAACAGACCATGATACTGAATACTGTTTTTTCTAGTAGTGTTCATACTTACGCCATCATCGCAGAAATGCTGCTGATTATTGTAAGAGTACGCAAATCAGAGCTGGAGATGCGTCTATGAAGTAAGTTGATCGTCAAGGCTAAAGTCTCTTCTCATATCTACATTCTTTGACGAGTAAGGGGAAGGGAATGGGTCTGAATGCAAAACACTTGTTCACTAGTTGTGCAAGACGATAATACTCGCAAGCGATGTCTTTTTTGAGGGCAAATGCGCGATAAAGATCTACGCGGTGACCAACTAGGTTCAAGGTGCTTTTTCTCCAGTTCGCTGTGACAAATTTTGCTTCAATCTAATTTAGTAGAGATGGCGACGATTAAGGAGCAAACAGGGAAAGCGATCAAACTGCTTACAAAGTACGATAACGCACAAGCGCGATGAGATCAAGAAAAATATCTCTAGATTGCTATCTAATGGACTGAAAAATAAGACTAGTAATCGATGAAAATAAAGTCCAATGACTGGTCTTGGATTCAAATGATAGAACGATAAACGATGGATTTTTTTTGAAACCGAAAATCAAATCCTGAGTAAACGCCGAATTAACGTCACCCACTTTCCCTTCAAATTTATGATGGGCGAAACTGTGCGCATGTATGATGCGAATTTCATTTGAAAAATATATTTTATATGCCACTTAGGCCTGTGATGGTACGCAATGTGGAGGTCTTGAACATTCACCTGATCTGCAACTATGTTCCTTTTATTTTGTTGGCAGAAACCGGTTTGCGAGATTTCTTCACAACTTGACTATAAAATCTGATCGCAAGTTTGTTATTATGCTGTGAAATTATGGGTTGTATCACATCTCTATTGTGGACAACCCTAACAATTCTTGGTCTAACTACTAACCAGAACTTCTAGTGAAGGCGTTGAGACTAGAAGTTTTTCTCCTCAGGCTCATTCCATGTGCTAAAAATCACATCAAGCGCAGGCCGACATAGCACGGATTGCCGAAGGTTTTCACATCGAACGTACACCTTTATTGGGAAGTGTTCTACGGTATTCAAACACTTTCCGGACTGTCGCTCAAGCGTTAACTCAGTGCGAATTGCAACGGCCTTGATCAAAGAGCTACAAAGCATTAACGCGTAGCCGTTGGCATCATAATTCTCGTTCAGTACTAATTGGACAGCGTAATTCCGGTGTCGGTCACCTTTTGCGTCGTAATGGCTGAGGTAAATGACCGAGGCTCGGAGACAACGCGCATGTTGTTTCAAAATTAGCCGGTTATCTGTACACGGAATAAACAATGGAACTCACACCTTTGACCTGAGCTTTGTCCTCTAGCTTGCACCCTCTTCAAGAGGTGTTTATTCGGTCAATGAAGAGAGCAGCTCCTCTATGTGTGGGCTTTGAAATGCGATACCGCTCGTGATATGTCGATAATGGCGCAATGCATCCGTCGCCGCCAGTTTCTTGTTAGAGGTTCTTCGATTGTCAGGAGAAGCTTGTTGACAACATCAATTATTGCTAGATTAATTCTCAGCGATGATCAGAATAGAAACTCGACAGTTTTTGGTTGGAGACTTCTTATGCAAGGTTCGCTATTAAATTAAGCATCAAAAAGAGAATAAATTAGGAAAACCTTCGAATACATAATTTTATCTGACTTTTGAACGGAGCGCGACTAGTTTCAAGGATGTCTTTTACAAGATAGAAAAATTCCAACTTTCTGGGAACCAGATTCAAGCAGAGAAGCATTCTTGGGCTTGAAGCACTTTGATTGCGGCTTCCAATGACAGTTCACATTCTTGGGTGAATTGAGACAGTAGCTTGAGAAGTGAAAACAGAATATCTTATAGTCTGTACTCCTATAAAAATAAGCCTCCACTGAGGAGAACTCCCGCTGATTGCAGTTGGACCCAGATATTCACCCAATAAACAGATTAACGAGCTTGCCGCAGGAAAATGATGGTGTGAAACACCTGCACTGGAAAACCCTAAACTGTACAGCTCATGGGGATCATTGACCCACATAGACTTAGTGGGAGATTTGCAAGCCTTCATCTTGCGAAAACTGCAATTGTATTTATGCAAGACTTTCAAAAGAAATCATTTCAAGAGGTAGGAGGCCACTTTAGCGTACGGAAGGATGAAAATCGAGCGTAAGCCACTAGGAATAATTCACTAATATTGTCGGCAATCTCGCCAGTGAATAGTTTCCCGGATTCCCGTGACTGCGAACAGTTGCTGTCGTAAAAGAGCATAAATGCGTTTATAACCGCACTTCAAAGCTGCAGGGTCCCAACGCCTGTCTGCCTTGATTTTGACACTTTCCGACCTGCGCAAAAAGCAAGGCACAGTCGGTGGCAAACAAACGGACAGTACCGTAATCAAGGTAAAGGGCACTCAAGGTGGCAATGAAAAAGAGCTGGATATTCGGTCAATGAGGAGGGAGCAGTAGAGACGAGCACGAGAGGTAGTCACATCGACGGCGGTATGCTGTGATGCGGGGATAAGAGCCCGTAAGCTGCTTAGCAAACAACAGCATGATCGCTGCAGATTCTCTTACCCTACTTACTGATTACTTACTGTCGAGTAAATGCCATAGAGCCGGGTCTGAAAGAAGTTTGACTCAAATACCTTGTTTTCTAAAATACATAGATGAGTTGGACAATCTTGGCTACTGATAGCATTACTCTATACCATCAAAGAAAATGTAAGCTACCGAAGGAAGGGAATACGGAATATCAGGGATAATGTGCAGAAAACCTGCAAAGCACCTTTCGTGACCACAAAAAATTACAAAAGTCTCTTGTAAGAGTAAATTTTGAAGCTGTTAATAAGGATCCTTCTCAGTTGCACTCCGTACGTCCAGGACGTAAAGGCTAACATGGAGCTTACGGAGATGCTTGTGGTAGACTAAATATTAGGGTGATCGGTAAAAAATGGGGCACTTACGAAATAACTCACTTTCCAATTTTGATAGATGTTAGAATATGTTATTCTCTTTCAAACAATACCTATATAAGGTCATTTACATAATTGATAATTTTTACACCTGCTAAAATGCAAAGCTAGTCACTTCTATAAATTCTGAACTTTGAGCAGTATCTGCGCAGTGAAACATGTGAGACCACCCAAAGTACCACTGCTGGAGTGGATGAACCACTAAACCCCCGACGGCTTGATGGCCTCAACTTTCAAAGTCAGGAGATATGGCCATTAACAGCTTCGAGAACAAAAATACGCGTTAGTCAATTCTTTGCAGGTGAACGCATGTTTCCTGGGTACCATCTGATAGAGCTTTTTACGCTTTATCCATCCATATGCAGGTTACCTCAGATTTTGTCTATTAGGTCGTTCCGAAAGTAATGTCACTTTTTCAAATGAACACCACATTTTACAGAATCAAGATTTTTGAAAGACCTTAGGAGCATTCGATGCAGCACTTCATCGTCTTTGTAAAGGTTGTAATTTCATTGCATGATTCTTAATGAACTCTCGAAAAATCAACAAAATCTGCGACTCATGCTTTTTGCCATGGTCAAGTTCGGCTATTTTTCTAAATTTCTCTACCTATTCTCCGAAGAAGTACAAGTAGCTGGTAAATAAAGTAAACCTTATAGGATACAGAGTAATTTTTTTTCTTTTCCTTAGCTTGCTTCTTAGAGTTTCTGAAATCAATTTTGAAATGCCATCAAATTCCATCTTTGGTCAACTCAAACCTC